TCTATACCTCTGTGCTCATGAGTATTCCTCATGATCAATTCACTGAGGAAGAATTTTTTTCTCCATACGTTGGCATCCACTTGAAAGGCTTACAACTCCACTTCAGGGTGGCCCTGAATGACAGAAGTGAAGTTAAAATCTCCCTGGAGGCAGCACTTTAAGCAGTACATTTGGTCTTTTACTTTGCTATAAAAGATGACCAGATATGCAGATCTATGCTGATTCACTTGTATTTGCTAGAGAATTAGATGAATAGTTAGGGACCTGGAAGAAACAGAAGTGGAAGATTAGAGACAAGAAAACTGAAAAATATAAGTATGAATAAAATTCTCAGAAAGAGCACAGGCTGTGAAGATTTTTGTGTCTAAAGCCATCCACTACAATAGAAGTTCTTAATAATTAGACAGGAAAATGTTATGCTCAGGATATCAGCCTTTTTTTCCTAGCCAATTAGCTCAGCAGACTCACTTTGAAAAGGACAGAGTCTATTCGTGGACTAAAAAATACAACCTTCTTAACAAGGCTGATCTTGCTACCATTACTGCTGAACACCTAATCTATTAATAGCAAAGAGCAACGAAACTTCTGATATGTCACCATTTCCTAGGAAGACCAGTCAGCCACCTGATGGAATAATGATTATGTTGAACTTCTTCCACTATGCAGGTGACAAGGATTCACACGCAGTGGAATAGACACAAATTATGGATTTGCCTTTTTCACAATGCTTTTATTAGCACCACCATCCATGGGCAAACAAGATGTTTAATCATCATCACAGATTTCTACATTTGTGGTTAAGAAATTCATGGTAAGGAACATATAGTATCACACTCATGTCTATGGAGTTAACTAGTTTTACCAGATACTTCCATTACTCAGCAAAGCTGCTAACCGAAAGGCAGCAGGGCTTACTGAAGAATAATTTACCACCATTTGGGAAACAATTCCTGAAAGACTGGAGTTCCATCTTATAAGCTATGTGTAAACTTTGAATCACAGACTATTATTTGTTGCTATCTTCTTGACAGCCCGAATGCACGGATCTAAGAAATGGAACTGGGTTCCATCTGTTAATCTAATGGGTCCTTCTATTTGGTGGTTATTCTATTAATCTAGTAATTAATTTATGTAATTTAGTTTTTCATCCTGAAAATTATGAAGGATGTAGATCTACAGCCTTAGTTTCCAAGACCCAGGGGAATGCTTCTACTTGAAGACATAACAGTGGATCCCCTAAATTGAAGATGAGACTGCTACATGAGCCAACAGGAAAAGAAAGGAGTTATAGCTCTGGCTGGAGTGTCAGGATTACCAAGGGAGAACTAAATAGTGCTATACAGTGAAGGCAAAGAGCATTGTGTCGAACCCGAAGAACTCACTGGGATGCCCCTTACCTCTCCCATAACCTGTGATAAAGCTCAGTGGGAAAATAACAGCAACCATGTTTCTGTGGAGAGACTGACATTTCAGATTCAGTATAAGAGTTCAGGCTTGCCTACTCGCTTAATAATGCTGCTCACCTGAGGTTCTAGTCAAGGACTAGGAAACTACTGCACAGATAGCGAAAAAAGGAAGTCACAGAAATTAACTACAGTTTTATGACCAATTAAAGAAAAAAGGACTACAGTAACTTGCATACATGCTTGTTCTATCTCTATATATTTTTTAGGATACTAATTAGTTCTCTATCAATATTCTAAATATTTTATACAAGTTTGCAGGAGACTTAAAAGTTTAGTGTTAAGGTAACAAAATATTAAGACTAAATTTGAGAATAGCCAATATAGATAGCAGTGGGTAAAATGACTTGGGACTGCGTATCTTTTCTTTTTAGGGGAAGGGTAAGAATGTCACTTGTTTCAAGGGTAACTGCATTTCTGGGTAGAAGCATAAGGTTAGTTCTGTGGTTGTATTGGTTTAAATATGTCTGAAATGGAGTATGTAGATGCTAATTAGCCAAAGGAGTAGATTGTATCAGTTATTAATTTACTGCCTCAGTACCAAATTTACCATTCTTTGGACTTTTAGTCCTTTTTCTTTTGCCAGCAGGCTGATACTAAGCTTTGCCAATAGATGGTGCTACAGAGACACTACAAGGCTAAACCAGGAGTTGGTTTTCCTTCTGCCTCTGTGCTGTTCTACACAGAGAAGAACCAGGGCACCAGCAGGCAGAAGTCTGCGTGCATTCTCCACGATGGCAGTCCTAATTGAGTTCTCCAGGAAGTTTCTCCACCATCACAGTAACAGCTCTAATGGATCAGCCCTTTTGTAACCTCCAGCAAGATCTGTGCCAACACCAGCAGAGGTACTCACAGTTCAGTGACCTTGGCCCGAGGTTAAACTCTTCATCAAGCAGTGGTCCTGACCTAGCCTGTAGCCTGTGCCAAGGTTTTCCTTTACTCAGTGACTGTTGCCACTGCTTTACGGAGCCCTGCACTCTTTGCCAGACTTTACCAAAAACAGACTGAGTCTTCTGGCAGCAGACACACCATTTCCAAATAGGTCTCCTTCACAGCCTTTCTTTGTTCGCTTTCCTTCAGCACTAGTGAGAGAAGCTGGTTTCTCTGATGGGCACCTCTACAGTCTTCTTTGTAGGTAACCACCTTTTACTACTAGTTAGCACTTCTTTTTATTAAAATTTCCCTGTTCAAATGGCTGGTACAGTATGGGCTCTGTCTTCTGACGGGAGAATGACGACTGATCTCAAGCACGAGTATACATATGAAAAAAAGAAAACTGAGAGAATCTCTGGAGCATTCCTGTATGTAGAGAGCAGGAAGAAAAGAGAAAGCCAGCAAAGGAAACGAAAAAGAAGCCAGTTCCAGAGTCAAATGAAGGAAGAAATGATCAAGTGTGTCAAAAACTGATGTGAATCAAGGTGAAAACTGACCAAGGGATTGGCAGCAGGCCCAAGAGACCAACACAGCAAAAAGCCTGAGCGGAGTGGGCTGTGCTGCAACTGTCAGGTTGGAAAGAGAGAAGCAGGCATTAACTATTTTGAGTGTTCTGTCACAAGGCAGAGCAGAGAAACAGAACCACAGTGGTAACGATCATCACAGATGCATGTTTACTCAGCCCTTACAGTGCTGGCTGGTTGCAGACCTAGAACAGGTGGGAAGTTGGATTTAAACAAACATTATCATAACAGGCATCCTTTAAAAGTATAGTTCATGAAAAAATAAAGAAAATTCTCAGACATCAAAAGTAAAAGATGTGCAGACAACTGGAATAATAAAGCCACAGTTGTCCCAGGGGCAGAGAATCCATTCCACACCTGGGCTGCCTAGATCAAACTAGACCTCCTGAGGGGATGTATGTTCACTGTACTCATTATGGTTCTGGTTTTCAAATTTATGTTGAGTTCCATAATACAAACAGTGATGATGCAATCCTATAACTTCAGAACTTAAAAAATTTATCTCTGAATCATAAGTATCTAGTTATATTACTGCACTGAAGTTGTAATTGAACATGGGTTAGTCTTTGTTTGCTTTTCAAGTTTGATGGAGATGACAGCTTATATTGTCGAAATAATCCCTTTAGTTCAAAGACTTTTTGAATAGGTATTACATAAACACTCTTACTGGTTTCCTAGGGGTTCTGTAATGAATTACCACAATTGGATAGTCAATGCTATATAAATCTGTTCCCTTACAATTCTAAAGATGAAAGATCTAAAAGCAAGATGTTGACAGCGTTATGTTCCCCTGAAAGTTCTAGGGAAGAAGCCTTCCTGTCTCTAGCTTCAGGCGCTTTTCAGCAACTGCTGGTCCGCTCAGGTTTGTAAACACGTCACTCCAATTTCTTGTCTCCATTAGCACACTGTGTCCCTGTGTCTTCACATGGCCTCCATGAAGAAATACCAGTCACTGTATTTACAGCCTATCCCAATCTAGTGACTGATTCTTAAACTGTTGTATATGTGAAAACTCTCTTTCTAAATAAGTGCACATTTACAAATTTTCAACAAATTTTTACTTGAGAAACTCTAAAGCTACATTTTAGGAAGAAAAAAATGATACTAGAAAAAAGGTCTGAGATGCAAGAAGAAACGGTGAACAAAGAAATGTATAAGTGAAGATGAAACTGTATAAACACTGACTGCATAAATCAGTAATAACAACACCAATTGAAGAGGGCTGTAGGGGAAGAAAAAACAGAAAATAAAAATGCTGGGCATCAATAACTAAAAACATGGAAGGCGCTGACCAGAATTCAAGTGTTCAAGTATTCTGTGGATTATGATTTTCAAAAATTTTTAACTGTACATTAAATATACATTAAATACTGAACAGTAATCCTAAAAGAGAATAAATTCTGCATTTTAAGTCAATATAAATACGTAAAAATAAACTGAATGAATTATACACATGTTAGTTAACCTCAAGTTGGGTGTTACTCTGGCTAGACGATCCTTCCTTTCATCTGTTGACTATATCACATTTCTTATAGTAACTGTTCCCAACATAGCCAGTTGGAATTCCTCCTGTCAGACCTCCTAATTTTGTAATATTCCTACTTTACTAAGAAATTCAAAGCTGTCTGTATGGCCTCATCACCCTAGGTTAATAGTAACTTTGCTTCACTAATAGCTTCATCTGCCTCTTACACATGTACCCAATTCTGTTTCACACTAAAATAACCTTTCTCCATTTCTGCTACCTCTTTTAAAGTTAAAGCCATATTTCTTAGTTTCCAGCCCTGAATTATATAACTCAATCACAAATGGAGAAAAACTTAGTTGCTCTTTACTTCTCTTTATTTCCTATTGTCTTTCTAAGATGTTACTGAAAATTGGCTCAGTCTAGGCATGATCATGGGAGGTTCCATAAGGACTGTTTATAATTTTCTTTTGTAACATCATTAAAAAGTAGATGTTAAGTAAACATTTCAAAATACTTAAAAGTCTTTTATGTGTCTACTCCTGGTTTCTCATACTTTTGAAGGTTAGAAAATTGTGACAATTGAATCTATGCTCCAATGTAAGAGTCTCTTACCCTTTTTTAGTTTCCGGACAGCCAACATACAATGACTAGGTGAAAGATCCCATATTCTTAAGGTTTTATCATCACTTACAGTAGCACAAATGGGTAGATAAGGATGTGTAGCCAGACCCCACACCTCTCCTTCCATATGTCCCTATAAAGAAAACACAGGATCAGTTCAGCCTAAAAATATATGCATGGCACAACGAAGAGCTCCACAGACCTGCTCACCTGTGAAACTGATGAAAAAATTAAACCTTGAGTCATTTAAAGCCTGGAAATGTTTTGAAGCAGATAAAACAAATATTGAAGCAAATGTGTTAAAACTTGGTAAGCACAGTATGTCTATGATATTTAAACTAAGATCTAGTCCCTCTTCCCCCTACAACTCATCCAAATGGCAACTTCATGTTAGAATGACACAACCAGGAATACCTGACACTCCCAGTTTCTAATTGGAGAGCTATCTTCCTAGGAGGTACAGGGTTTTAGCATTTCTCATCCTGCCCCCAGCTACCCTTTGCCACATCCAAAATCTTTGAGAATACAGTTAACAAGCAGATGCTTCCGCCTCCTTCCCAACCCCTAATTCTAGATGGAAGCTCAACCTTGGGAACAGTGCCACTGATGTGCAACTCAAGAAGACCTGAGACTGCTGCCCCTTCTCCCCTACCAAGCATTCAGTTTCTTAAAGCCTGGGACTCTCAGAGAAACATGCCACTGCTCTTACTTTCAATTCCAGATTCCTCTGCAGAGATTTTAGCTAGAGGGAAAAGCATCCAGAAAGACAGCTCCTAATCTCCTCTTAAACAAACTATTCTATTTATAATAGCACCAAAAAGAATAAGAAACTTAGAATTTAACAAAATAAGTGCAGGACTTGTACACTGAAAACTGCCAAACCCTGGTGAAAAAGATCTTGAGAGTGCCACCATGCTCATGTGCTGGAAGACTTAATCCTGTAAGGGTGGATCTCAAAACTGATCCACAGATAGCGATGCTACTGTGCTGTACATTTTAAAAAAGTAAACATATAGTAGTATTTCTATTTAAGTATATACACTTAATTTTTTATTACTATAGTTCCATCTTTATTTCTAGCATGTGGATTTTCTCAAAGAGATTTTTTTGGCTACTGTTATATTCTGCTGCAGATGATTTTTAAAAAATGTTTCCTAGGATCCAGTTGTGATGGTGCACACCTGTAATCCTAGCACACGTGAGGCTGAGGTAGAAGGACTGCCGTGAATTCAAAGCCAATTTGGACTACATGTGAGGCCCTGTCTCAAAAAAAAATTTTTTTTTTGCCCCTAAATTTCTGGAAATCTCCTTAAGGTCTGTACTGTCATTGAATTTATAATTTATTTAGGTCTTTCATATCTTTAAATAAAATCTTAGAGTCTTCTTACCACAGACAATGCACATTTTAACCATAAAATTCCTTGTTGCTATACAGTTTTTTTTTTTGCTGTGAGCAGAATTTTTAAATCATATTTTCCAACTTGCTGTTACCACTACACATAAATACTATTAAGTGTTATATGTTGACTGTGTATCTGATTATATTATAGATCTCCTTAGTTAGTTCTAGTAACTAATTAGTTCTAGTACGCAGTTTATTCTTTTGTCATCCAAGTTACAGTATAACATTGGTTTTTTTTAAAAATTTTATTTAAAAGGAAAAAGAAAAAACAAAACAAAACAAAGTGGTATAACAGTACAAGTAATACAGAACTACAAAAAAAAAACCAGTAAAAAATCACCAGTTAATAGATTACATATTATCATCTTAGAGATAGTTGCTTAAGTCACCGTATCAAAGCATACAAAGTGGACATTCAAACAGTGAGAGCAAATAGTTGTGTTCAATGATCCAACCAAAAACATTAATATGTTCAGCTATTCAACACCCCTAAACACACTTGCTGTTGTATCCTTTAGAGCTCTTTTTTTCCCTCTCTTTTTTACAACAAAATTTACACATTTTGGGTTTTATTACTCCTTAGTTCTTCTTACTTTTTTGGGGGGGGAGAGAATAAAGTCAAATATGGCAAAACAAAGCTGTCAGTCAAAAACAAGGATAGACATAGCGCATGATGTAAAACAGAGTACAAGGTTATCAACAATGGTTATCAACGATGTCTCTTGTTTCCTTAAAAAGAATTGTCTATCTCATTAGATATTATAAAGTTGAACAAAACAGTAGAGAACAAGACCAATAAAACTTAAGCATTGTAAACATTACAGGACTTCCAAAGGAGACAATAGTCAAACCAGAATGGGCATCTTAGTGAATCTTATTGCCTTCAAAGTAGTTGCCTATACCCTCAAACTTGATACTATCATACAGAATGGAACATACTATCATACAGAATGGAACAGAGTCTAATCAGTCAAAACAAGATAGTGGGAGTATTACAGGACTTCAAAACAAGTTAATAGAAAGTCAAAAAAGTTACTATTATATATCCTGCTAATTTTTTTAACTTTTCCCCTTAATTAAAAAAAACATAAGAAATAACTAAATAATTTTTTATTGAATAAGGTAGAGACTGAGATAAAACAGGACGTAACAATGTAACAATACAGGTCAAAGCATGACTGTTTCAGCAACCTAGTGCTTCACCACCAAATAACCCGACTTAATAGTAGTTACCATAGTGTCTGTCTTTTTCCTTGAAATATTTGAATAAAACTTCATATACTATAGCTTCAAATATTTCCATATCAAGAAGCCCAGAACAAAGCCTTTCCAATTAATAAGTGAAAACTTTATAAGTCTTCAAGGCCACATAATGGGGAACCATGAGTAACACATATTTTTATATATTGGAATCATTACTTACATTAGGGAAACTATTCGGTATTTACACATGCGAGATTGATTTATTTCACTTGTGAGTATGGTCTCAAGCTGCGCCCATTTATTGATAAATATCTCAATGTGATCCTTTTTTATAGCTGAATAATACTCCATTGTATAGAAATACCACAACTTTTTTATCCATTCCTCAGTTGATGGACACTTGGGTTGTTTCCAAGATCTGGCGATTACAAATTGTGCTGCTATAAATATAGGTGCACATATATCACTGTGGTATGATGCTTTCAGTTCTTCTGGGAATATGCCTAGCAGTGGAATAGCTGGAATAAATGGGACTTCCAATCCCAGCTTTTTGAGAAATCTCCAGACTGACCTCCACAATGGTTGCACCAGTCTACACTCCCACCAACAGTGTAGGAGAGTTCCTTTTTCCCCACAGCCTCTCCAGCATTTGTTGTTGTTGGTTTTCTTGATCCTGGCCATTCTTTCAGGAGTGAGATGGTATCTCAGTGTGGTTTTAATTTGCATTTCTCTAATGACCAATGACGATGAACATTTTTTCATGTATTTATTTGCCATTTGCATTTCTTCATCTGAGAAGTACGTATTCATCTCAGATGCCCATTTTTGGATTGGATCTTTGAACTTTGGGGGTCTGAGTTTTTTTAATTCTTTATATGTTTTACACAAGAGTACCTTGTCTAAGAGAGAGTTCATTAAAGTCTTTTCCCAGTTTGTGGGTTTTCTTTTCACTATGCTGGAGATTTCTTTTGACATGCAGAAACTTTTTAATAAGAAGTGGTCCCAGTTATTGATTCTGGGAAGTATTTCCCGTGTGGTTTGAGTCCTGTTCATGAATTCTCTACCTACTCCTATGTCTTCAAGGTTTCTACCCAATTTGTCTTCAAATAGAATTAGTGTTTCTGTTTTAATATTCATATCTTTGACCCATTTAGATTTTAATTTAGTATATGGTGATAGACATGGGTCTAGGTTTAGTTTTTGGCAAATGGAGAGCCAGTTTTTCCAGCACCATTTATTAAAGAGACTGTCGTTCTTCTAGTGAACCTGCTTGGCTCTTTTATCAAAGATAAGGTGGTTGAGTGTGTTTGTAGTTGTGGTTGTATCTTCTAATCTATTCCATTGATCTTCGGCTCTGTTTTGATTCCAATACCATGTTGATTTTACTACTGTTGCTTTGTAGTATAACGTCAAGTCAGGGATTGTGATGCCTCCTGCTTTGTCTTTGCTGCTTAGAATTGCCTTTGCTATTCTAGGTCTCTTCTGGTTCCAGATGAATTTTAGGAGTGATTTCTCTAGATTTATAAGGTACGTTGATGGTATTTTTATTTGGATTGCATTGAATCTGTATAACAGTTTTGGGAGAATGGCCATTTTCACAATTTTTGTTCTTCCTATCCATGAGCAAGGCATGTCTTTCCATTTTCTGAGATCATCTTCAATTTCTTTTTTCAGTGTATTATAATTTTCACTGTATAAGTCTTTCACTTCTTTCGTAAAAGTAATTCCTAAATATTTCATTTTTTTGCTTGCTAATGTGAAGAGTGTAGTTTCTCTTATTTCCCTCTCTGTGATTTGTTGTTCGTGTATAGGAATGCTATTGATTTCTGAGCATTGATTTTGTATCCAGCCACATTACTGAATTTATTTATTGTATCTAAGAGTCTTTCAATGGAGTTTAGGGGGTCTTCTATGTAGAGCATCATGTCATCTGCAAACAATGATAATTTAACCTTTTTTTCCTATATTTACCCCTTTTATTTCTCTCTCTTGCCTAATTGCTCTGGCTAGTACTTCCAGTACTATATTAAATAGGAGTGATGATAAAGGACATCCTTGTCTTGTGCCTGATTTTATTTTATTTTTTTGTTTTTTTTAATTTTTATTTAAGGAGAAAAGAAAAGAAAGAATAAAAAACAGTGAAGGGGTACAAATTATACAGATTTACAGAAGAAAAAAATGCGCAGTAGGAAATCACTAGTTAATGGATTACATATTGCCATCTTAGAAATAATTGTTCAAGTCACAAAATTAAAGCTTGTAGAGTGGACATTCCAACAATGATACTGCAAACAGTTCTGTTCAATGATCCAATAAAACTCTGTGATATCATTTTCTATCTTATACATTTAAATATACATGCAATTATATAGTTTAGAGCACTTTCTTTTCCTCTCTTTTGTACAGTGACTATTACACATTTTGGGTTTCATTGCTCCCATGGTTCTTATTGCTTTTTTGGAAGAGAGTAAAACCAAATGTCACATAACAGAACAGAATCGGTCAAGTCAAAAGGGTGGATATAATAG